AGCAATGGAATGTAAGGAACAAAATATAAGAATGAAATAAAAAAATAAAAACTTAGAAGAAACACGAAATAACAGACCTTAATTGCAAAAACTAAGAAAGCAAAAGGACCTAAAAAAATGAAATAAAGTTAGTAAAGAACAAGTGTAAAAAACAACATAAAGAAAAAGAAAGAAAAAACATACCTTTATTGCAGGCAGAGGCGTTGAGCAAGTGAGCAAGAAAAATATGGAAACGTGAAATGATAAATAAAATTTGAAATCATAACGCGTTTTTGTGTTAATGTGTAACGTATCTTAATTCACGTGACTTCGTGACTACAAAACGATGAAAAAATTGAAAAAATTAAAGGCCCAGTACAGGAACCGAACCTGCATTACTAACATAAAAAAAAATTATGTACCATTCTAACCACTGAACTAACTAAGCAAATCCAATAATTATTAATGAATAATAGTTATATTTATATATTATAAATCATGTGACATATTTGAAAAAAAATTTCCAGGCGATGATCGCCCAGGTGATGATTACCTAGGCGACAATCACCCAGACGATGTTTAGCAATTCCCTTTTAAGATTAAATAAAAAATTTTTGTACTTATTAATCAAAAAAAACTTTTTTTTAAATAATACACTAAGTGTTAAACTTTATTAATTAAAAAATTTAAGATGATAGAATTAGTATTTAGTATATCCGCCCTTAGCTTTAATCACTGCATTAACCCGATTCGGTAAACTTAACAAATTTATTAATTTATCTCCAAGAGATATATTGGATAAATTAGATAAAAATAATGCAGAAGATGATGAAGTTAATGATAGTAGAGCAAGTGATAACAATAAGATCCGTCTCTAAAGAAGGTGATTATAATTATGATATAGATAATGTATTAGGTATAGATAATAATGATAATTATGATGATAATTATGAGAAATAATAATAATGAGAAATAATTACAATAGTTAATCCAATAAAAATAATTCTAATATCATATGATTTAAATAATATGACATTGTTAACTATTTAGGAAATACAGTATATAATGTAATTATGCAGGGCAAAATATTTGCGATTAAAGTCCAGTTAACATATAATTATGCAGGTATAATTGTAATTTCAATTATTTTACATTTATATTTTAAAACTATGCAATTTAATTAAGGAATAAGAATATTAGAATCAAAAAGTTTTAAGGACTTTGTTAATTAAATTTATTACATTAGATCAAGAACTGCATTAATTAAATTTATTATATCAGAACAAAAAAAAAAATTTATTATAGAATCAAAACTGCATTTATTAAAAATATTTTTGATTGGCCACATAATCATGTCATGTTTATTTGTATATTGTTTTCAGTATAGGCTCGTTACTTTGTTTTTTCAGTTCTTTTTTTCTTTTATTTTTATTTGTTTTTATTGTTTCTGTTTCATATTTCATATTTCATTTTCACTAATTTTATTCATTAAAGGACTAAGTATTGCAATTTTTTTGATAGTGTCCTAAATTACCACATTTCTTGCAACATATTTGTTGCTTTGTTTTTTCATCTTGATTTTTTACTTTATACTTTCTTGTACCTATCGATCTTCCTTTACTATGTTTTATTTTTGGATTTTGCAGCTGAAACACATTTGCGTTCTCTTTATCACTCTCATGAATCTCATCTGATTCTTCACATTTAGATTTAGGTTCACTATTATTTAAAGATGGTTAACGGTCCTACAGGTTCATCTTGATCCTGGGACTGCCAGTCTCAGGACTTTGTAGGACTGGACCGTGATCTTTTTTTTCTGCAGTGCAGTAAGGATCAGTCCCAGGACTGATATAGTTTTTGTAATGATCTTTAATATTATATATAGTTTTTTTACAAATGAGAGTTTTTTTAAAACTTATTAGAAATGTATTAACATTTCTTCTGTTTTATTTTTAGGTACAGATTCTATCCAGTGATTCGTGAAAGTTTGCTTAATAGTTATTAATTAATGACTGATAAGCTAACTTTTTAAGTTCAGTTGATGATCTAATGTGGTAATGTGGCAATTTTTTAAGTATTATAGTAAATAAAAATTAAAAATGTGGATTTGAAATTGAGGTGTGAATTCAAAAATAAGGTATATATTGAAGTTAAAGTATGAATTCAATTACCTTAAAACTGTTAATCACTTGGCTAGAGGTGCAAAGTGGTATTTGGAGGAAGAAATTCAATTCTAATATTTGTGAGAATTGTATTTTCAGCCCAGATAACAGACCAAGAAGTAGCAAGTTTTCACGATGGAAGCAAATATCACGTGGCAAATTGCAAATAGCCGCGTATATCGCTCCCATACTATGCATCATTCCGTCATATGGCTTAAATATAGAAAATGAGTTGATGCATTATCAATAAAAAGAATGATGTTTTAGTTTTGCATTCTTATTTGGTCATTAAGCTTTTTAAGATATTTATTTCAGATTGATACTTGTATCCAACTCTTTGAATTTCAATAATAATTTACTGGAAGAGTATTTTTACTGATATTTTTTAAAGCCCAAAGATTTTCATATTTATGTATAAATAAAAGGCATATTTTTTCAGTACCAGTTGCATTATAAGTTAATAAAACTATTACACAATTCTTAGATTATTTTGTTTTAATCACAGGACCATTAGATATGATGCGATTAGATCACATTTTCCAAAAAAGACCTGTTTTGTCACAGTTGAAAATATAGAATTTGGCAAAGATTTTTATATATTGTATCAAATTCTACAAGTGGTGCACTTGCCACTTCTCCATGCATATTATATTGTTTAAGATTATAACATTTTTTGAACTTGTCAATCCATTCATCTGATCCCTTAAATTTTTTTTCATTGCACAAAAAAGCAAATTTCAAGACATTAATTGAAAGAATATCATCATTGATAACAAGACCCTGGAGTGCATTTTTTACTCAAAGAGCTAATGACAACAAAAAGGAGTTTTTCATGCTTCAAACTAGCTTAATATAAATTAAGATCTACAGCAAGCCAATGATCTTTTGTATTCAGAATATCACAAATCATCTCTTCACTAATATAATATCTTTGGCTAGGTCTTTGTTTTTTAAGAAAGGTGAAGATTTTTTTTTAAGCAAACTTTTTGTTTTTGTATAACAGTAAGGGACTTACGTTTTTTAGAATCAAAAGGTTCATGAAAAGTTTCAAAAAAATAGTCATAAAGAATTACTCCTTGATCTTTTTGATGCAAGTATAGATTAACATTTTAGTATTATTATATTTATATATTGCAGATTACTTTAATTAGAATGATTAAGAGGATTGTGTAAAATTAAAGAAATGTGTATTGCATTACAATTTGTGCATTATTATAGGAGTAAAAATTATATAAAGAACCTTTGTTTGCAAATGAGTGGAAAAAAGTTATTAAGTAATTTTCTCTACTAATAAAATTTTATTAGATTTCATCCAATTTTTATTATTTAAAAGAGAAAAAAATTTTGCATGCTATTTTTTAATTTATATAAGCAATATTATGTAATAATAGGCGTTTTAACTAAAATGGAACATTTATGTNGATCAGTAATTTTAATACTTACATTACTAGATGTTATGTATTTTGGAATTAATGGAGCTGATGATAGTTTATTTCCATATTAAGCATTTGGATGGCCATCTGTAAAATATTTGGATGATTGACTAACCAATTGCAAATTTGCAATTGGTTAGACATCATAGTAATTTGGAAAGGAATTTCTTCATTAAAGGAATCTTAGCATTATATAAGAATGAAATAATATTTATTTTACAGTAAATTAATCAATTATAAAAATTATAAAGATTTTTACCATACTCATTATCGTTTCTTTTCTCTACTCTCTCTTTTTCTCTTTCTCACTTCCTCTCTACTCTCTCTTTCTTTTTTTTCTTCTCTCTCTCTTCTTTCTTTTTCTTTCTCTCAATTCTCTCTATCTCTTTCTCTAATCTCTTTACCTCTCTATTTTTCTCTATTCTTTTACTTTCTTCTTGATTTTGATGATGTGAAAGATCTTATTTATTTCAATTAAAATTTTTATGTTATTTCAATTATAAAATTAAAATGCAAAATTCATCATTTCTACTGGTATATACATAATGTTTAATGAATTGATATAGCATTAAAACAACTTCTAACTTCTAAATAAAAATATTAAAACTAATCAAAAATGGTACAATAATATTACTTAAGCGAGTCATTGTTGCTAATTAATTGTTGTATCTGTAAAGAATAACAAAATTGAATCGAAATCCTAGTATTCATATATCTGATAATATTAACTTTATACTGTGATTATAAAGAATAAATTACTTCCATTTATGCACTAACTACCGTATATCACGGGCCATAGTACCCCCCCTATGCATAGTACCCCTCTTGAAAAATTTAATAGAATTGTATAGTATCTGGGAGGATATTTTACAATTATCTCGTGATCCAGTGATCAGATTTGAGCCATCTTTTTTTTGTTTGATAGCTCTCATTGAGCTCTTCATAATAAAAAAAAGATCGTTCAAATTGGACCGGTATATCGTGAGATATTCGCAAAAAACGGAATTTTTAGGTTTTATTTAGTACCCGGGGGTACAGGGTCAAACCCCCGATTTTTGCAAGATACCCGGGGTACTGTGGCCCGCTATATACGGTATTATAAATATTATAGAAAAATCTCTTTAACATATTGATTATTCTGTTTATATACTATGATTATTACCCATCTGCATAAATTGAATTCTGTTTGTGTACTATAGCAGTATAATTACTAATACTTTTTTATTATAGAAATTTTTTTTGGATTATTGCCCTAAAATTTCCCTTTATGTACTGTGATTACGATTTATGAATTTAAAAAATAAGCTGTCAAAAATTTTTGTGAGAAATGTAAAAAAAAAATCAAATACAATGTAAAATTCATGAAATAGTTATACTATAAAATTTTCTTATGTAAACGCCAAATATTTAGTAATTTATTTATTATTTATTGGAATAATGATTATGTAAAGTATATAATAGATCTCATCACTATTTTGACTAACTATAAAATAAGAAGGTTAAATAGTAAATAACTTTATAATAAATTAAACTCTAGCCTAACTTAATCCCAAAACTGTCAGATCTACTGGAGAGTGCTAAGTTAAAGTAGTGTCAAGATGATTTAATTAGAAAGGGTCTTAGGTTAGTATGGCAGTAGTTTTCTGAAAGAGTTTGAGAATATGATAAATATCTTTATTAGNAAAACTGGCTTTAAACTATATTTTATCCCATTTCTGCTAGAAAAAAATTATATACTATAAACGTTTATTTACTTTATAAATTATATACATATTATTATTAGTGTATTATACTGTATATATATTAGGTATTTGATGGAAAGCATCCAATTGACTGTATCATATATTATATAA